CCCCCCCCCCCCCCCCCCCCCCACACTAAAGAGCGGGATCCTTTCGTTGAGGGGGGGGGGGGGGGGGGCCACACTAATCAGCAGACAACATTAGGGGGCGTGTGGTTTGGGTTCCGCTGCCGCTCGCTGTTTTTGGGTCTTGGGTTGTTGCGCCTTGTCCACTGGTGGCGTTGCCAGAACTTGTCGTTTCCTTCCCCGGCCTCTCCTGGGTGAACTGTCTGTTCGCCAGGCTCTGCTTCTGGGCCTCATCGGTGCAGACCTCCGAGGAGACTGGCCAGGAAACGGCCGTGATGCCCTCGGGAGCCTCACTGGCAGAAGCTTTCTCAAACTTCATCGTGCCAAAGAGGGAGGCTTGAGCCATGACATAAGGATGCAGGGTCGCAAAGGTGCCAGGGACCACGAGCACGGTAACGACGGGACCCACCGTGACCGAGATTGCAGCCGACATCGAACCTGCATTTCTTTGTCTTAAGTCAAGATACCAACAAGCGGGATTTAGATTAAAGACACTGAAAGCTTTACTTATTGACAAAACAGGCTTTAACGAGAACGCAGGAACCTACTGCATTCAGGCTCCAGTGGTCACTGACACGTTCTGCAGTAATGGCCGCGTTGGCACTCTGATCGAGGTTGTCGGAGGAAAGCTCCAAAGTTGTCTGGCCACCGACTTTGTACACTGTGTGGTACTCCGCGCTTGCCGTGGCCTGCAACTCTCCCTCGATCGCCAGCTTCACGGAGCCCTGAATCAGGACAGTGACACACACTGCATACAGGCAGTACGTGGCCACAGGCTTCGGTGCACTCGGGAAGAAAAGCTCCCTCTCATAAGTACAGGAGCCACCTGCAAGGGCACCCACCCCAGCTATACCAGTCACGTCTCCCTCCAAGCTGATAGTTGCGGTACTGGCCGTGGTATCAATGTCGATGGAAACTTTCGGCTTGAAGTCGATGCTTGCAACAAGGCTCACGACGGCCCCGGCGTTGCAGTACTGGGTCTGTCGGCAGCCCAGCTGGCTGGTAGTCGGCTCCTCCGCCGAGCCGATGCCCAGGAGCTGCCGGCCGAGTCCAAGCTCGGGCCGTCCGAGTCGGTATAGGACGGGCTCTGCAACGCGGGCTGCCCGTGCGGAAGCATATCCAAAGCGTCGAGCCCAGGAACCCGTCTCGTCCGTAGCCGCAAGGCGACGAGCCCTTTCAGGGTCGAGCTTTGCGCAGGTGAGCGACGCCGTCATTTTGCTAGGGGAGGCGCTGAATCTGCAGCCATACTCGTCCTGGCACAAAAACATATGCCCCCGAATACTGTAGGAGCTGCTTGGTACAGGCTCTGTGCCATCACACACATTGATTCTCGATGCCGCACCTCATGGCCTAATCATGTATGCGCACCGAACGGAAACGGAAACGGAATAGAGACACGTGACAAGGATAGAAGTGCCAGCGGGTCTGGTGGAGTTCTTGACGCTCACACTCGGACAAGACAAGAGACGGCGGAACGTCCTTAGGGCCTGGCTCAAGCTGTTGGAGCTACTACTCCGAGCCTTACTTCGACAAGAGAACGGCTCCTCTACCAGGTAAGCTTCCTATGAAGATGCCAAGAAACAAGAAAGTACACCAAGCCCAAGTGGACAGCGCAGGATGCTGACAAGCTCTAATTCAACTTGAAGAAAAGCAGCTTTCACATGGAACGGCGTTAACGAAACACCAAATGGCCAGCAGGAATATGTCAGTGTCATCTTCAGCATCGCAGGCACAGCTACCCCCAAGACGGAACTCAGAAGCAGCACCGACAAAGCTAACAAACATCATCGGCAACAACTCATCAAATCTTCCGATAAACTTTCACGGCAGTTATGACAGTTATGACAGTCGAAGGACTTCGACCCTAGCAAAGACGTTCAGGTTGATGCCGCGTGCAGGTTTCAGCTGGCCGTGAAAGAGGAGAGAGGAGGAGAGAGGAGGAGAGAGGAGGAGAGAGGAGGAGAGGAGAGGAGAGCAGAGAAGAGAGCAGGGGAAGAGAAGAGAACATAAGAGAAGGCAAGAGAAGAGAAGTGCCAGTTCCCAGCTTCATGGTTCTTGGCCCAGCCAGCATCGCCAAAACATGAAGTGTGCCCCAACACCACTGCCAAGCTGTGGTGCACAACAAAACAAACACACAAACACAAACACAAACACACACACACACACACACACACACACACACACACACACACACACACACACACACACACACAACCACACACACAACCACACACACAACCACACACACAACCACACACACAACCACACACACAACCACACACACAACCACACACACACACACACACACACACACACACACACACACACACACACAACACAACACACAACACAACACACAACACAACACACAACACAACACACAACACAACACACAACACAACACACAACACAACACACAACACAACACACAACACAACACACAACACAACACACAACACAACACACAACAACACACAACACAACACACAACACAACACACAACACAACACACAACACAACACACAACACAACACACAACACAACACACAACACAACACACAACACAACACACAACACAACACACAACACAACACACAACACAACACACAACACAACACACAACACAACACACAACACAACACACAACACAACACACAACACAACACACAACACAACACACAACACAACACACAACACAACACACAACACAACACACAACACAACACACAACACAACACAACACACAACACAACACACAACACAACACACAACACGACACACAACACGACACACAACACAACACACAACACAACACACAACACAACACACAACACAACACACAACACAACACACAACACAACAAAACAAAACAAAACAAGACAAAACACACAACAAAACACAACACACAACACAACACAACACAACACACAACACAACAAAACAAAACAAAACACACAACAAAACACAACACACAACACAACACAACAAAACACAACACGCAACACAACACAACACAACACAACACAACACAACACAACACAACACACAACACAACACAACACAACACAACACACCACACCACACCACACCACACCACACCACAGCACAGCACAACACAACACCACACCACACCACACAACACACACACACACACACACACCCACACACAACATCGCACATGCTGCTTCCGCGCGTGTGATGGAGAAATGGGATCTTCTGTTTTGGGCGCCTCCAGCCACGGGTCAACCACCTCCTCGATCATGCATTGGCCGAAGTCTTTGGCGAACTTCACGAAACTGTCCACCACCTCGGTCAGAGCGCTCATGTCCACCAAGCTTGGGCAAGCACTTGGGGTCTTTTTGACGCAGGTGCCCTGGCAGTTGACGGAAATGCGACCTTCAAGGAGGCCGCCACAACAAAGATCCTCCGCGCAGTCTGTTGATGCCGAACATTTTGCACCTTCACCAACCCGACTCCCGCAAACGCCGCAGATGCCAGCCTTGCCAGAACATTCGGAGTAGTCATAGAACGCACCATTGATGGGCCACGTGAGTCGTGGCAACATGGATCCATCCGGCAAGGGCTCGGTGCACTGACCATTGCAGCCGGCAGAAGTGCCAAGAACACCTCCGGGCAAGCGGCACACGTTGCTTACGCAATCGCTCTCCTGGGAACACGCAGTTCCACTAGGAACCTTGCGACCACAGACTCCACATCTGCCTTCAGAGGCTTTGCATTGATTGTAATCGCAACCCCCAGAAGCGACCTTTGTGGGGTCATTACACTCCAGCCGGAACCCATCATCTTTCTTGGGCCTGCATGTGCCTTGGCAACCGGCTGATGGGAAGCCTTCGCACCAGCCACTGCTGCAGTCAGCATTCTCCGAGCAAGTCGAACCATCGGGCACGCTGCGCCCGCAGACTCCGCACTTGCCTGCACGGGCTTCGCATTGATTGTAGTCGCAGCCGCCAGTGGTAATGGAGAGGCTGTCACAAACAATCCTGGTCCCATCGGCCTTACGCCCTTTGCACTCGCCGCTGCAGCTGCCAAAGCCTTCGCACCAGTCCGACTTGCAGTCCCTATTCTCAGTGCAGGCGCTGCCATCAGGAACCCGATCGCCACAAATACCACACTTGCCACGCCCGGCAAGGCAGATGTTGTAGTCGTAGCTGGGCCAACTCCCTACCGCTCTTTCGCCATCCGCCCTCTGTGGCTTACACCGGCCAGACGAAAAGAAAGTGCCGCCGTCGCACCAGTTGCTCGCGCAATCTGAGTTCTTGTTGCATGCGTCGGCCACTGCAGCACAGGCAAGTGCCGTAAGGAAGTGAACTTTTGCCATGGCAACCGCACTTACCAGGCGGGGGAAGGTTCTGGACAAAGTTCAGTGTGCAAACTGCGTGTCCGGAACATCACCGTAGGGGAGTTGCCTGCGAGCCTGCCAAGTTACACTACTAGTACTACTGTTGGCAGCCCCCTGAACTTGAGACTTGAATTAGCCACTGTGTTGCTGCGTGTGATGGAATTGGCGACATAAGACTCGGGCAGGGATGATCTCATCTCCAAGACTGAAGCAGGCGGGGGCAAGCTCTTTTTTTGCGCTTCAGGTCTGCTTGGCGTAGCTTGCCTGTGGCTGAGGTTGCGCAGGCGAAGCGGGGGCAAGCCATTATTTAGGGAACGCTGAAGGCTCAGGATCTGGGTTGCGGTCTTGGACCGGTACAGGCTGTGCAAAGAACAGGAAAACGTCGGTTCCCTGTAGTGATGCGAAATTGGGCACGCGCTTCTTGCGACAGGCGACCCGACAAGTCGTCAATGCCCAAAACAAAGGAACAGCACCACACAGCAATGTTGAGCCTGCTTTGGTAACCCCACTTTAGTATCTCAAGTTTTCAGAGTCAAACTCCTGCAGGAAACGATGCCTTAAACAAGTGACGGCAAGCTGAGGCTCGGCCTGTGGGCCTCCAGCCCGAGAGCCTTCCGAGAAAGACCAGAACTATTTTTGGTTTTCTTTGTTTCTTTGGGAGGGTGAATGCCCATCCCCTACTGAAGCGGGCCCAACATTTAGCAGATCGGCCCCTCACTTTAGTGAGGCTGGCCAGGAGTCCGCGCGCGCTGCGCACTGAGCGCTCAGCGGCGCAGCTAGGCACCGAATTTGAGTTCAGCAAAGGTAATGTACAAGTCGCTATTGCAGCAAACGTGGCAGCTCATGACCATCCCCATGAAGATGGGATCACTGAACAGCCGTGCAAAGCGCTTGAGCTTGTACCCCATGGTCGCGGCATCACCATCTTGCAGGCACTGTATCAACACCAGCTCGAGAATGTCGCAAAACAGCCTCACAAAGGGCGCGTGCTGGCACTGGCTGGCATGCTTTCAGAGTTTAGGCTTAGGGGTCTTCGACTACACTCGCACTCTCACATGGCCCCTTTCGTAACAGTCCCCCACATTGTGGCCGGAACAATCCATTGGATCAACTCACGCGGCTTGGTGTGGTCGTGTACACGGTTCAGGACATCTTTCGAAGGTGTCAGCCGGATCAAGGTGCCGGCAGCCAAGAGCATGATGCTGCTGGCAATCTTGATGATGATTCGTGCACGATATCGGCAGAACATGATCCCCCCCAGCTGCACGGTCATAAACTGGTAAAAGCTGAACCGGCCCGGATCCTTGAAGCCTTCCCACACGGAGCGCCATTCACCATTGCTTTTCTCGACAGCATCTAGGGCAAGGACGGTGTCAAAGGAAGGCTTCTCTGTACGTTTCAGGAGGGAAAGGTTCTTCTTTCGCTCCTTCGCAGTCTTAACAGCCCACTCCCTAAATCTGGACCCGAACTCTGTAGGAACATTCACAAGCTTGACACGCGTCTCTGCAAAGCCAAAGCTGGTAGTGGTCGTCTTCTCCGGGTAGCCGCAGTCAATAGTCCATGTAAAAACACCTGTGGCAACTTGTGGGAGTTCTAGAAAGTCTGCGCAAAGGCCAAGGACAAAGATGAGACCCTCATAGCACCGTGATGTTGCCGCCCGAGCCTGAATGCTTAAATGAAAAGCAAAACGACAGGCTGTGATGAGGCAAGGGTCTAAGATTCCAATCGTAGGACCGGTATTTGTGCCATCCGGCGTCTGGCTGGGCTGCTACTAGTGATTATGTACAGTTCTGATACTACTTGCGGCAGCAATGGCTCCATGATGCTCCATGCGAAGAATGCTCGGCACTTGGTACTTTTTTTGAGATCAGTTGGCCTGAATGTTTGAAAGGCACGTTCAACTCTAGGATCTTAGAGATTAAGGGGCCTCTTTGAGTACAAAAGAACTAAAAAATCTGCCTGCCACGACGGCTCCGAGATCTTGGGGTTTAAGGACTGTAAGGGATACTAACAGCAGGGCTAATCTCAAACTCTCGGTAACCTTACATACAGTCATCCTAAACGCGCCTCGCTGGTACCAAGGAATAGCTTCCATGTTGGGATGCCCATCAGCTTCACGGACTGCAAAGCCGGAGAAGAGGAAACTCCAAAGTGATAGACGTCGTAGGCAAAATCTTTCAGGACCATAAACGCCACGATGGGGATGCTGTCTGTCATGTACAGCATCTCCCGGACATACATGTAGCGGTGCATGTCAAGGATCACCGTGGCGAAGTATAGCATACGTTGCCTTTGCAGATCTTCCATTGGCGCCAGGGTGTCGAAGAGAAAGAGTCCCACTTGCCATACTTTTCCAAGAACTGGCATGTAAACTGACAGGGGCTCGAGATATCAGCTCTGAAAGCGACTCCCTTTGTGTTACATGTGCCCACATGTCCTACTCAAAGGATATACATGGCGAAGCATTTCTTGGCATCCTGCCGCAGGACTACAGACCATCCCGGCCCGCCTTGCATGAACCCAAGGAGGAAGAGGACTTCCACTAAACTCTCCACGCCCGACTCCAACGAACCAAAGCTCCCATCTTTGAAAGCCTTGAAGAATAGCAAGACCATGTGGGAGGAGCTGATGAAGATGAGGTCAGCCACAAGAATGACGATGATGACCGCGAAGCGCTTGAAGGCAAAGAACCGCTCTGATCGACCATACTGCACCTGGGCTGTCGCAGGGCAAACACTTCTAAACGTGGCTAAACATGCTGACATCCGCCGTGCCCTACCGAGTCCTGCAGACTTGCAACGGAAGGAAGCTGAAGGCTCTTTTTCCCGCAAGCTTCTCCAAACTCCTGTTGTCTGCCCTGGCACATAGAGACACAGCGGCATCCATGTGAACACAGCTGTGGACGCGCCGATGGGGAAGTTCAGCTTCATCAGACCCCAGGAATTACCAGAGTCGTCGACCGAACCCACCGCCAACCACAGCCTTGAGAAATTGACTTGTTTCTGGCCTTCGGAGAGTTTGGGGAGGGGGGGGGGGGAAAGGGTGTGGGGAACTTGTCATAGAGACAGAATAAAGTCAGAGTGTACCTGTAGCAATTGCCGCAACTGACTGACTGGGCCGAAGAGCAGATGAATCAGAAATGACAAAAGTGGCCACATGAACGCCAGCATCGTGTAGAGAAGCTTGATGTGGCCTGCAAACAAGCCATGCGCATTCAACACCATACTACCATACTCAATGATTAGAGGCAGTCAAAGTCCGGCTGGAGGGACCTCGCTCCGGCTGCGGCAAGAAGGCATAGAAGAAGGCGGAAAACATGATGCCCTTGACCACCATGAAGTAGTTGTCAAACACCAGAGTGTACCACCAGAACTGTTGGTGCCCATCTCCGACGTTCACTGAGTTGGCGGTCATAAGCCAAATGTTGTTCAGGATCACTGGGCTCAAGCTTCCAATTAGCAAAACCAAGCTCAAGAAAGCCGAGTTTGCTCTGGCCGCAATGACTGGGTATGCTGTTTGGTCCTCAGCGGAAAGACCCATGGGAGGGGGATCCGGGCCAATGTCCTCGCTGTTCCTGAGCTGCTGCTCCAAGGCAAGAACGCCTTTTCTTTCTTTGTCGTCCATGGCTTCCAAGGGCTTTATGAAATTGAACTTTGATGGAGTGCTCCGCGGCCTTCTTTTCACCAACACCTGCGGGGTCACTTGGAAAATCCTGGCACAGTGCCAATTCTCTTCCAGGTTGTCGCGAACAACTACGAGCTGGCCAACGTGGTATCTGACGCTCATGTCCACCCCGCGCGGGAGAGGCAGAAGCCTTCGGACGACTTCTTAATCGGCTCGTACCTTGAGCCAGGGAGCGCAGGTTGTTTAGTTAAGGTCTTCTGGCGCTGGTAAGCGCTCCCTGACAAGCGCACAACACACAGAGGATCACAGGACAGTGGCAAGCAATTTTTTGCTCTTGGCAGATGCTGAGGTCAGACTTGACCAGCCAAACTGCCAGCCTACTTCGCCTCAACAAGGCATGTGCTCGCACCTCGGATTCGTCACGCATCTGTGGAACCCTGCGAAACCTTTCTCATAAACGGAGCCTGAAGAACTGAGGCGCCTGCCAGCCGCACGGGATTTTCAAAGCAACGTCTGGGCGCAAAGATCCACACTTGTTGTAGAAGGCGCATAGCGTTGCGTAGATGCTGTGGCAGTGCCGTGGGTTTCCACGGCACCCCTCGGAAAGACATGGGTCGGCTCGTGGCTGAGGTGAACCGCCGATCAAGGTGTACAACAGAATTGGAAGTACAAACACACTCCATTCAGTTGCCGCGCGACGACGGGGATCGTGGCACCAGTGTTGTGATCGATCCGAGAGACAATATCGTGCCGAGGTCGTACCTATGTCAGCTGTCTGGCTTGGCATTGCTGCCCAAGTGCAGCACAAATTCTACGTTGCGGCAAGAGCCTCCTTTCAAACAAAACATACCCCCCCACCGTCAGTTCGTCAGTTCCAGCACACATCTGGACTCTCACAAGGACAGGGATGCTCCAAAATCCCGGCGCCACAAACCAGAAGGCCAAACGGTCTCAACTCAGGCGAGGTAGCTGTGACAGAGGTGTAGCGATTCGTTGATAGCTGATCCTCACCGAACAGCAGCGCTTCGGCCACCCCGATACCTGCTGCAGAATACTGTACCCCTGATGCAAGGGTCTGAAGTGCCAGTACTTAATACACAATCGCCAGAACGTTTCTGGAGGTGTTGTGGCTTAAGCCGGCATGCTAGTTTCCCGTCCTACGTTTCTAAATTTTGGGTGGTTCCAAGTCATGGTTTGAATGAAGACTTCTTGTTTTGAGACTGCAACTAGTCCGCCTCAACCCTGAACGGCATGTTCAGCTTACCTCATCAAAAGCTGGAAGTTGGCTTGCGGTAAGATACGATGCTGTATAGTAGGCTCCCAAGCCAAGTGCCATACACAAAATATCAAACTCACAGCCCTCGAAACCCTCGAGCCCAAAACCCTGCACCCTGAAGTGCAACAAAAGGCGATCTACATGCCCTCCTGGGCTGAGCTCTTTTCCGCAGCCCGTAGGGTGGGTGCAACGCTGACGCATAGGTTCACGGCTTACAGCTTAGTGTTCAACGCTTCCGTTGCTTGGGCCCCGAACTTCCTCCCTTTGGGGCTTATTCTAAGGTTTTGAAGAAGTGGGGAAACTTAGAGTTTATCCGTCAGGTCTTGGAGTTGTTGCAGTGGCTCTGAGCTCTTGGCACTTGAAGCGCTTCCAGTCATTTCCACTCTCTGCCAAGTAAAGACACTTTGAAGTTGAGAGGAGGCCTGGCGCTGCAAACGCCACGGCTGTCATCTCCACTTGCCGGCCTGTTTTCAAGCACTCCACTACCAACTGACGCATCTTCCACACAGAGTCTTTTGGGAGCTACAAACACTGCGCGGGCTATCAGCACTTCGAAAGGAGCCTGGCCCTCGGTTTACCAGGACATATCCGTGCAGACGTGGTGTTCATGTCAAGAGGACCCTTGAGAAGAATTCAACAGATTCACATGCCACCACAAAGCGGCAGCGTAGCTATAAGGCACTGGCAGGATACCATGCAACTGCACGATCACATAACATCACATGACGTATACAGCTGAGTCTAGGACGCCCCCACCCCCCCCCCCCCCCCCCCCCCCCGCCTGCATGTTGGATCTCCTCTCTCTGAACTTCTGCGGCAACGAGCTTTGCGATGCCCCCACCTAAAGAGTGCCTTGGATGACGCGAAGGCATGCAACTAGGTCCTCAGGGCTTCAGGTTTTTGTTTTCTTCGATAAGCCGATGCAGTAAGCGGCATTCATGAGGCTTCCAAGGCTGTTCAGCTTTTTTCATCTGTGCTCAAGCCAAGCACCCCGTGATGTAGTAGTTCCGATCCGGGTGGCTCTTCATTCCTTGCAATAGCTTTTAATTGGAGGATGGTTGAAGAAGGATTAAAATCGCCCTATAGGCGATTTATTCTCAGGGTCGGTTGCTGAGGGCCATTGGCAGTCTTGTGTCGGGCTTTCACCTCCTGCAGCAAGTGGATAAAGGTGAGCGTGAACCTGGCGTCCTGTGACATCCAGGCAGGCGCCCTATTGATAACAACAGCGATTCGGCTATAGCAAGTGACGAAGGAACCGCACGCCACGACATGTTACGACTCCCAAACAACAGTCATCTTCTCCAAAGAACTGCGGTCTGCTGATTTCTTGGGTTCGGAGAAGGAAACAGGTCATAATGTGACCATCAGCCTTTCCCCTAAAGAACCTCTTGCGAGTGGGTTGCGTTCTTTGGGAGGGCAGCTGATAAGAGTATATGGGATCCAGAAGGTGGCCGTGCATTTGTTATGACCACGCGTTTAGGCTCCGTCAGAGCCTGCAGCATGTAGACTTGACGACAAATCCAGGCAATGGAAGGTCCCCACAGCTTCACCACCTAAACAGGAGCACAGATGTCCCATGAGGCTGTGGGCGGATGGAATCAAAGGTCAGGGCGTCTATGCCAAGCCACATTGGGGCCGAGGTTCTCGAAGATGTACATCATGAACACTGGCAACCAAAGATCCATGTCTTGTAGCGCGTCGAAAAAGTCCGTCGTGCCACGCACTGCGAACACGGCGGTGCCTGCCGCACGGCACTTTCAACAGCTTGAGCCAAGTCGCCGAGGACCCAGGACTCCCAAAACCTCCTCCCCCTCCTCACCAGAAAGGTGGCTCTGAAGTTAGTCTCGGCACTGTTGTCTGCCGAGGTAAACTCGAAGAAGGTGGTGACGTCGTGGTGCGCTCCTCGCACAGCCAGCGGAAGGTGAGCCTGAGAAGGTCTTCCGGCGCTGAGGCTGGCAAGTTGGGGTCTTTGCACTTCAAAGATCGCAAGGATGCATTGGGATTTAAGCTGCAAGCTGCAAGCTTAAGCCTATCAACCCTGCAAGGTGTAGCTACAGGACGAAGATATTGGCAGCTGAAGGTCGTACGCCACACGCCAGCCAGGGAAGTACTCGTTCAGCAAGTACGGCACATGTTGTGCAGGCTCCTGGTAAAGCTCTGAACTACAGTCCTGATCCTGGAAGGTCCACGGTTGAACCCTGCACGAAACCTTCAACAGGAGGTGGTGCGCCAGCCCCACAACCGGAAGCCTAAAGCCACCTGCAACTGAGTGAGGCCTCCTGCAATCCAACGGCTATGCACGACTGCAGGGGCCTCCAACTCCAAACCCGACCCCTCTGAAGCGGCTTGCTTCCTTTAGGCCAAGATTCGTATGCGAAGGCCGACATCATTCCAAAGTCTGCCTGGGTAGACAGGGCACATGAGCTTGGCGCAGCGGGCTTGCGCTCTGCTATGACAATCTGTCCTCGGGATCCAGTTCACTTCACCCCATCCGTCAAATATGCGCATTGTATCTTCAATCAACAGAATAAACGCTTGAATTCGCGATGCAGATCGTTCATGTGGGCATGCGCTTGCCGCCCAATCGCCATCACGCCTGTATTATCGCGATGAGGATTCCACGTGAGTTATCTAGCTTTCTCAAGATTCTCAAGTGGAATGAACGGACATTGGACGGGGACATTGGTCGTACGGTCTTGCTGGGCTGTACCGGTAATTGTTTGATAGTCAACAAAATACTCAAATAATTTCAATGTTTCTGAATGTGTTCGAAAAAAGATGCTTCGATTTTACAATATCCCCAACCAACACAACTGCAGTAGTACAATAACTCACTATCATTACAATCTCTCAGTATCATTTGAAACGAGCAACCAAAGTGAAAGATTTGGCTGTTGGCTCCAAACACAACAAGATCAAGATCAAACACCAGTTCATCTTCCAGCCCAACAATATTGACCATTCGAAACACGATGGACATCCAGCAGCAAGCCAGGTTGCGATTTTTGTTGCCGATAATCGAAAGTCGGCTTGCGACAAGCTTTTATTCAACTATCGGACTTTTGCGAACCACGACACGAAAGAACACCACCACGACCACAACTACCACCAGCACCACTAACGCCGCCACCACCATCACCACCGCCGCGGCAGCAGCAGCAGCAGCAGAGTTTGCGCATATTATTGCTATTTGTTGTTACATTGTTATTTGGGGGCGGTTGTCTAGCCGGGTCAGGGGTTCGCAAGATCCTTTGTCGACGCGGTGCCAAATTTAGCACGGCTTTGCCGTGGATTGGGAAATCCATCTGACAGATGGGCCATCGACCACCTAATGCTCCTCGATAGTCGACCGGATAGTATTCCTCGGTGATCAGACTGCTCGCGCTCTCAATATGTCATGCATCATGGCGCCGCCTCTTGCAAACTGGTAGGCAGGCTCTTGGTGGTCTTTGAAGCGGCCATGGCACGCAGTGCGGGGATCCCGGAAGGCAGAACATAGACTCCGTCGCAGAGACACGTTCTACCGCCATGCAGTTGGAGATGACACCTAGGCCCCACATCAGCGAGGGTCGCGATTCCTAGAAGGAAAACAAAGAATAGAGGCGCACCCCGAGTGCTAAGTAAACCGCTTAAGCCCCAGAAACAACAACCCAAGACAAAGCAAAACGGGTACTACAGGAAACGCCTGGACGCAGATCAGTGCAAACTGGAAGCCTGCAGAGCTGGCAGAGGGAGAGTTTTGTCATGTTGGGGTTGATCCTTGCCGTTATGGAGTTGACCTAGAATCCGGAATGGAAGATGTTCACGATATTCTTTTGGGATCTAGCAATAGTTGGCAGCGTGTAGAGGCTGCTTCCTGCGACTCCGACTCTCACAAAGTCGGACTACGGCTGGCTCCTAAGCCAAAGAAGCCTGAAGCCCAAAAAGGCTTGTGGAGCCGGTCGATCTGCATTCCCTTCTCAATCCTTCTCACATACACTTCCTGTCATACTTCGGGAACATGAAAAAAAGGCTCAATGAGCAATTCTGCTTGGAGGCTCCCCAGCGCAAAGAGTGCCAAGTACCTGAGCAAACAGCGAAACACCAAGCCCGAGGTTGCCGTTCACACCCCACATTCTTGACATGCTCTTGGGGGAGATATCTCGAGAACGAGTTCATGGCGGGTAGGTACCTATGGAGCATTTAGGGAAGCTTAGGGAACCTGGGGAGTTTTCGGGAGCATTTAGGGAACATTAGGGAACGGTGGCTAACTTGTTTTGGACCTTCTTGCCGTCTCCGGAACCGCATTCGTTCTCCCGCTGCCAGCCGCTTCTGCAAGCCGAACTCGCGCGGGATGAGCAGAATGCCCAGGAGGGCGCTATCTTGCCATGGGTTCAACAACCTTGCAACAAGGCTGGTAAGCTTTGGCATGTCATGCATGGGTCGCGGCAATGCCAGTGTAGACATGCGGCGGGTTGTACCACAGCACCATCAAACCTGCTCAGAAGCGCATGAAGAGGCTGGCAGTTAGCCTGTGCTATAGTCTTTGTGCAGCCTTTAGGGGCAGGCCTTGGGGAAACCCGAAGCCCAAAACAATGTAAAACCTTACTTGTGTTTCGAGACAAGTCGCACAAGAAGACCAAGAGGAAGGTTTCCACGAGTCCGATTAGCCAGGTCCAAGGCTTTTGGAAGAGTACCGCGAGCTGTGCAGCAAAGCATGCCTCAAGAAGATCTGTCTTCGAAACCTCTTCCCCCTTCATGTGTGTATGCTTCGTTACGTCATCGGTGGTAAGGTTTCATCTCTCACGAGCAAATCCTTACCATGGCCTACCATGGCGGCCACTGGCTAGACGTTGTGTGGCTTTTTGGCCATTCTTCGCGTGGGGCGGGGTGCATAACCCTTACAAGCAAGGCCTCTTTACTTGCCGCTCTGGCCGTCGGTCTCCTGGCAGGTCTTGATCCTTCTTCTTCTTCTTTTTCTTCTTCTTCTTCTTCGGGGCTTGAAGGGTGCAGGCACGCACCCCTCGCGCACAAGGCGCGCCCATTCCATAGTCCAGTCAGCGTGAGACATGTACGAGTACCCCCGTGATGAATCTGCGCGTTCACAGACTCTCTTCTTCTTCTTCTTCTGCAGGGCATGGGGGGGCCCGAGAGACCCCTCGCGCCTAGGCGCGCCCAGGTTCACTGTCACTGTGAAACTGCAGCTCTTCCCCCGGGGTACTGTTCCGCCCGTTTTGTCTGTCTCCCATACCTTCCCAAAAACAACCCCCACACAAGCTGTATTCCTTGACTAAAGATCGTTCTATTCGGGCTCTGTGCTCCCCTGTTGGGATCTTCTTCCCCCAGTAGGTCGAGGTGAAAACTGGCTGCTCCGACGGAAAGGCTCGCTCCCTTGCATGCCCACAAACTCTGAGTGCCCCCTTATCCCTGAGCCTGATGTCGAGCACTTGACTGCTGGCTATTACACATTCCGAGCCTGAGGTTCTCTTTCCCCCTTACCTCCCCGAACCTTGACTGCAAAGGTACTAACGGGCTTCCCTCCCCCTATCAGGCCTTCATGTGTGCAGAAAGTTCTGTACACTTCTTTTCTTTCCGACTCAGAAGGTCTCGTTGTTGGATGTCAGACTGTCTCCCTCCATCTGGTGGTTGACTTCGATCTTCTACCCCTCTCGGCCATGCTGTCCCGCTTCCTCTTCTTCTTCTCCTGTTCCACCTCCTTGTTCTTCTTCCTGTGTCTGGTCCTGTACTGTTTCCGCCTCCGTCTTTTCCTTGGATTCCCCCGAGGTCTCTCGGCCTTCTTGGCTGTCTTCCACCACTTGGATGGCCTCGTCTTGTCCCCACCATGCGGCAATCCACCGGTCGATGGCCTGTATGGCTGCTCTGATTTCCCCCGCTGCCGGCTGCTCCATGAAGTCCAGTACGTGCCTCAGCCTCGTCCTCGCTTCTTGTAGATCCCCCACCCCGGTTGCTTGACTGGTTCTGGAGGGGGCTTCTTCTGCCCCCCCGTGTAGCGCTATGACATCTGCTGGGTGTACGGGCTCTTCCCCTGGTAGTGGGTCTTCTCCCTCCGTGTCGTTGTAGGCTTCCCCACACGTATTGCCTCGTACTCGGACTTGCCATAGCAGCTGCCTGTAGTGCGCCTTGTCTATGCCCTCTTCGACCATGTCCATGAGGTCCGCGAGCATTTCCATGGCTTCAAAGCAGGCCTGTTTTCCCCTCCTTCTGTCCTCTTCTCTGCACTGGTCGTCTTCTTCCAATCTCCGGAGCGCCGTTTGGAACAGCGCTAGCAGCACTCCCAAATCTTCTCGCATTTCTTCCTTCGTTGGCTGTGGCTGTCCCGGCACCGGGTTTGCGAGCATGTCCCCTATACGCTTCGCCTCTTCCAATTCTGGATTGGTCCTCCTTGGTTTTTTCTGGGGGGGCTGCGCTCCCCCGGCTCTCGCCTCGGCCTTTGGTCTTGTTGAGCTGCTGGCTGTTTCTCCGCTTGACCCCGTCGCTGGTTCGGGGTTTCTCCATGGCGCCGAGGCTATCGCATCTGCCACTGTTGTTGACGACGCGCTTCTTCCTTCTTCTTCTCTCTCCTCTTCTTGTTTCTTTTGGAAGTAGTCCGTGATGACCCCTTGCAGCCATTCTGTCTGTTCTGCCTCCTCTTCTTCGTCTTGTTCTTCTTTCCATCTGGTCAGGGCTTCTTCCGACCGCTCCTCTTCGTCTTCTTCCATGGTGTCTTCTTGTGTTTGCCCCTGCTCCGGGTTGGCTGGTCCGGTCGGTGTCGGTGGCAGTTGCTGGGTGTCATATCCTAGCCCCTGCAGGCTGGCGTGTAGATGCGCTGCTAATTCCCCCTGTTCTAGTGTGTCGAGCTGGCTGATGGCTGCCTGGATGTGCGCCGCTGCTTGTTCGATCTCACGCCTGGTGGGTGTGTGTAGCCTCCCACCGCTGTGCCCCTGCCGTAGGGGTCGCGAGATCTGCCACAGTGCCGAGTTGTCCGGATCTTCCTCCGGTGGCGGGTATTGTCCATCCTGGCTGCTGTCGCTCTCCTCCTCTGTGTCGCTGTTGTGTGGCGGTTGTGGTGGCGGTCTCTTGTTGTTTGGTGGTTGCTTCACCGGCGGTGGGGTCTTCCCCTGCACTTGGTGTGCCTTGGTCGGTGGGTTGGATTTTTGCTGCGCGTGCTGTTGTTGCCCTCCTCCATCCCCTGCTTTGCTTGTTTGCTTGGGACCCGTGGCCTTCGGCGGCGGTTTGGCCATGGGTTGCTGGGTCTTCGGGGGCGGTTGGATCGGCATGTGGCTCTGCGGTGGCGCGCTCCCTTTTGGCTTGGCCCCCTCAGGTGTCGCCCCTTTCTGCACTGTCTGTCCTCTTCCTGGGGTCGCGGGCGTCCTCTGCGTGGGCTTTGCTTGCCCCGTTGCGGGGGTTTCTGGCTTGAGGTCTGGTGCGCTTCCGTCCCTCAAGGTGAGGGCTCCTCCGGGCCGTACTTGTCTGCACGGTCCCTTTCTGCCATGGCTGCTTGCCCTGCTTTGCTCGCATCGCTGGGTTTGGGTCCTGTGATTCTGAATCTCCACTGGTGTGGGGTGGGTGTTTGCGTCATCTCAATGGCTGTGTGAGGCGCCAGTGGCACAGTTGGGGGGCGGAACGTGCTGGGTGCTGCTGCTTGTGGGTTAGTTGTTGCTTGTGTTGGCCACGGTCTGGCGACTGGCTGCGGGTGTTCCCCCCCCTCGGTGTGTGGCATCGTTGTCTGTGCGGGCGCTGGCCCTCCCCCTTGGTTGGTGCCACTGCTGCTGCTGCTGCTGCTGCCTTCTCTCTGCCGGTCCTGCGTTTGTTGACTTCTCCCTTCTTTGTGCTTGTTGAGGAGTTCTGCGAAGGAGGGCTGTTCCCTCAGCTTCCGGGCCATATTTTCCTGATGCCTTCTCCATTGCTGGTTCACCGATGGCTGAAGGTGGTACTCTGGGTCATCCACTGGTGGCGGCGGGATGTATACCCCTGCGCGTTGGAGCTCGCGTTTCCTGCGCAGTTTTTTCTTGTTTGTTGCGTGTGCGTGTGTCCCCCGCTCCTGGGTGGTGGTAGTGCTGTTCTTGCCTGCTTTCCCCGTTACTCAGTGGCGAGGTGTCATCCTTGGCTTGCGTGCTGTCGTCGTCGGTGTTTGGGTTCTGGTCCCCCGTCGGCAACGGTGAGGTGTCGCTGGTTTGTGGCTCTGCGCCCCCTGGTTGTTGGTTGGCTGCCTCTTCCGTCACCGTGGGTTCTTCTCCCATTCTCTGCGCCGCTTGCTGGTAGGCTAGGATCAGCTGGTATTGTTCCCACTGGTCATACACTGTGGGATGGGTCGCCCAGTTCGGGTGGCTGGGATGTGGCGGAGGTCGGTAGAATCCCACCATTTTGAGGACGTCTCTGATCTGCTGCCTTTGGTGTCGCTCGATCCGGTACTGTTCCGCGTCCCACTCATCTTCATCCTCTTCCGTCGGCGCCGCTGCTGGTACTTCTCCTTGTGTCTGCTGCTCTGTTGCCAGGGCTTGCCCGGGTCCCTTCTCGTTGGTCTTCGTCTTCCTCTGGGATGGGGGCTCTGGTTTCTCTCGCTTTTCCTCTGTTCCCCGAGAACGCCTGGCCCCTTGCGGTGGGCAGAGGCGGTATCACCCCCATGGCCCTCGCTTCAACCCTCAACGCTCTTCCCAACCGGTCGGCCAGAATGGCAAGTTGCCGGAAGGAAGTGTCGTCTAGCTATAATTCCGGAGGACTCCCATATTGCGTGCTTTTGCGGAGTCATGGTGTTGATGTGCGGAAATCCCTGGGGGGGTACGTGTGTGAGGGCCACCCCTTCCGGTCGTAGGCATTCCCACTCGTGGGGTGGGGCAAGGGGGTGTGGGGCTGCCTGGTTGGGCGGTAAGTGTCTTCCCAGGCTACCCACGAGCCTGTGCCCTGGTCGGCTGCGGTTGTTTGCCCCGTCGGCTGTTGCTGGGCTTGTGCCTCGATGGACTGCCTTGCCGCGTAGAGCAAGTAGATGATGTACTGGTAGTCCCTCAATGGCAGGGCGTTGACTCTGACTCCGAAGACTCCCTGAATGTTGGTGCCCGGGACCACTGTGAGGTCTGCCCGTTCCATCCTTTGTCTGTTCCACCTGTTGGTGTTTTGCGTCTGGGGCTGACTTGGCTGTTGGCACTGGTATGGTGGTTGGTAAGGTTGTGGGTTCCCCACCAGTCCTTGTTGCTGGGGGCCTTCTTCACTCGTGGGGTGCGTTGGTTGCTGCTCTTCCTCCTGGGCTGGCTGTTGTTGGGTTGCAGCTGGTACTCCCACGGTCAGGGCTTGTTCCACCCATGCTGGAAGCCCCAGCCTTGTCCCCCTTAGAGGCGGTTGTGCCTCCGGGGCGGTCCCGCCTTCCTTTGCTTGTGGCTTTTGGGTGAGTGTAGCTTCCTCCTCCTCTTCTTCTTTGTCCTCCTTTCCTGCTTTCCCCTCGTTCTGGTAGGCGGAGTGGTAGTCGACGTAGAGGTCGCTGTGGTGCTTCCCTTCTCTTTCTGCTTGCTCTTTTCCCTCGGTCTGGTTGCCGCTCTCCGCTTGGTCGCCGTCCTTACCGGCTTCCTTGCTTGTTTTCCCTTCCGTATTGTAGGCGCCTGCTTCGGCCTTGTGGTCTTCGAAGCTGCCCTTCTTCCCGTGCTCGTCCATGTAGTCGGCGTGGTTGGTGTGTTGGTCGTTGTCGTGCTTTCCTTCCCTCTTCCCCTGGTCCTCGTCGGCGTCGAGCTGG